ATTTTTTATTATTTAGCGATGATCTGAAATCTTCCAATATCTGAGATCACCTTTAAAAGCACTAAAAACTGCTCATTTTAACACCAAATAAACTTCTTTATGTACTAATATACAAAGTGGAAACTATATATGCTGACATATAAGTTCATTTCTCTGCTCTTAGATTGGCTGTCAGCCAATCAGCATGAAGGAAACTAGTAGCATTGCGTCTTGGTATTTCACCTTCCCAAACCCTGTTTTATTTTTTTTCTGAAAGGTTTAGAGAAGTTCAGTAAAAACAATCAACACATTTTTCATGAATAATTTAGTTAGGTTCCACAAATAGCCTGAACAGAAGTTCAAAATCTTGTAAATCCACAAGAATCCAGAGGAATTTAGTGAAAGTTTTTTTTGACTTAGCCACTGAAAAGCTCCAGATCTCAACCACACATCAGAGCTGTCAGAAATGCTGACTCTCAAGTGTTTCAGAAGCTAATTTCATGCTGCAAATCATTGCTGCCGTTGCAACACCTCTGAAGAAACACATAAGATACAAAAGTTCTGCTGAATACAAAACACAGTAATTAGTATTTTATCAGCTGCCTTCGTTTGCTCTTTGTCTATCCGTTCTTCTGCTCGTCTTTATTGCTTCTCTGTCTTCAGGGTTCAAGGGAAGAATTCCCTTTTATTCCTTCTCAAAATCACACACAATTAAAGCAGAGCATTTTTGGCCTCAGGGCCAAGCGCTCTGTGTGTAGAGCATTCACCCTCCTTCCACCCACACACTCAAAATAAAGGGATCCAGCACACATGCACCTTCCCACACTCTGTGTACCAAAACACAAAGCCTGCTTCTCTTTGGTGCATTTTATTTGGCTATGGCTTTAATTGAGCTTTTTTAATGGAGAAAAAGGATTATATATTCAGTATTTGGACTCAGGCTGCTGCTAAAAACAACTTTAAGGATAACAGGTGGCATAAAAACGCACCAGGAGACAGAAATATGTCAAGCTGATATTTATCTGCACCATTCTGGAAATTTTAGTTACTGGGGAACTTATTTCCTGTTTCAAGTAAAGTTATGTCTCACAAAATTCAGCTTTCATATCAACCACATCTTGTCAGGTGGAGTCCCTCAGGGTTTTGTCTTCAAACCACTTCTTTTTCTTTTATTCATGTCTCTTTCTTGGATGGAAAATGAATCATTTAAATTATAAATCAATTAAAAAACCAAAATCAAATGGGGGGCGTTGTTCCCTGGGAGGGACACAAGAGGGCGCTAGCGAGGAAAATTGGAGGGAAGAGAAAAAAATTAACAATTTTGTAATTTTTTATCATAAAATAAATAATGTTTTTAAATCTTTTTTTTTAAATATAAGTTAAAATGATTTATTGAAATTTTCACCTCTTTTTCTGATTAGCTGCTTTACTCCTCAGCCTCACATAGGCAGCACAAAACAGAAAACCTAAAATCAGACAGTGTGAGGCAGCATCAATGCTAAACTAATTTTACAATAAAAGGGAGAAAAACATGTTTGTTTTTACAAAACTTTGCAAACCTGCTCTGTATTATGTTGCAGCGGTTTTCCAAATTTGTCCCTTTTCTCTAATACTCCATTACAATAATGTGAAAAAACTTTTTGAGTGTTTTTAATCAAAAATAATAATAAAAGAGTCACATTTATACAAGAATTCAAAGTTGTTCAAATTGATCATCTTTTATCCAGCTGGAATGGGGAACATCTCTTCATTTAGTTCTTAAAGTTTGTGCTAGGTTTGCTACGCTAACGGCTTTGTGTCTAAATCTGTTAGCATGGCATCATGATAGCATCTCGATCAGATAATTTATAATCTAATCTGAGTAATTAGTGGTAATGAAACTACAATAACGAAGGAACTGCTGTGTGATCAGTCACATCCGTTGAGTTGCTCAAACTGCACTGTAATGAAAGATTAAGTGGAAGCTAATATGCTAACATTTCACTGCCGTTACTCCTGATTTTAAAAACAGTTTAAAGTCTATTTTTTGTTGTAGCCTGCAGCTTTTTTGATGTGTAACTTTGTGTCTAACATAAACATGCGTCTGCCCGCCTTTTGCGATTACACTGATTCATTTGTAATTGTTGTTTGGGAATCTGAAGGATTGTAGCTGATTGGCCACCTTTGACACTTTACAAATGGCAATCAATACTTTTGTTTCTGGTCTTTCTTTGCTCGTCTCCAGTGCTTCCCGCAGGAGATAATAATTGGAGCTGATAATTGTTACCAGGCTCATAACATATTGACCGGATCTCCTTAATGAGCCGATTGAACAGAGACGGCCATGTCTGGAAAAAACGAAGCAATTATCACGTCTATATGCGTCGCCCGATGGTACGACAGCGAGAACAAACAAATTCCCACTCGTCATATTTCAAACTCAGTCGTATAAAACCCCGTATTCATCCGCAGTAACGACTTCTGGGATGTGCATTTTACCTCATCGGGAAGTTTAAGGATTAACTTGATTCTATTATTCACACCAAGTAGCACAAGAAAAAGCCCAGGCTCATTTTTCCTTGTACCTGCAGGTTCTAGTGAGCAGCTTATTACGCGATCAATCACACACACCACGAACAGCGGCGAATCAATTAATAATTGAAAACCTTTAAAGTACTTGAAGCGCTGATTGGAATGTGCCTTAAGTTAGACGCAGGCAGTGTGGAAGGTCACCAGGTTAAACTGGCCAGATTAATCAAGCTCAGAACTGGATGTTATGTATTACTAATCAATCATGTTTATTTATACAGAACATTTCAGCAACAAGGCAGTTCAAAGGAAAACATGTAAGTGTAGAAAATGATCAGTTGCTCAACTGAAATTATTTTAAAATCTAAACCAAAACAATGAAGACATGAATGGAAACAAAACCACTAAATGGAAGAATCACTAAAATGGTTAATTAATGGCAATCAACACCTATTAACTCCAACTGGTTACATAATATGTTCAGAAAATGGACATTTTGTCAGGATTAAAAATATATTTAATGAACTCTTCAAGTTATTTTGTCTCTTTTGGGTTTAAAAACCACATAAAACTTAAAAGAAAACTGAATTAAAGCCGCAGTGAAGCATCTGAAGGCGTCAGGTCAATTTATTGCATCATCATCTGGCCTGATGTTCAGGATTTTGGTTGCAAACCAACAAATTGAAGATCATTTGATCCAGTAAAGTTGTTTTTCTGGCGGGGAGGATTTGTGGAGTATAATCCAATCATCCTGAGCTGGAATACCTGTTAACAGGTAACTGAAGTGGCTCAACTTCAATAAGGACCACTGAAATAAGAGTCTCTATTTCTGTTTCTAAATTGTGTAATGTTGCTGTTTTTTTTCTCAATTTCTTTAGATTGAACATATATTTTCAAACCCAACAGAAAAAATTGAGTATCTGAGTCAGAAAATGATCATAAATATTGATCAATCGGCTCCTGTACCTCTTCATGCTCAGACAGTAGTGCCGATCTACTGCCATCTATAGGCGGCTGTGCGCCACAGCAGATTGCTGCCAGTGATATCTGGAGAGCGTTGCTGCCGTAGGCTGCAGCCATCCCTCCTAGAAAAACAGCAGATAATGATTTCATCATTTCACCGATTATTGACAGGCGCCTTGAGCTCTACTATTAAGTTCCCAGTGTTGTGGAGCGAATTAACATCCATTAGAATATGATTATTCAGCGAGAGTGTGGTGGGATGTTGATCCTAACGAGGACTGCAGCTCCAACATTGGGGAAAAAAGGATATGTGGGGTTTGACAGGCTCATCAAATATCCAGCTCCAGACGGCGACGTGTTGACTGCAGCTCTGCATCAGGAGCCTCTGGCCTCAAAGTGACCTCCTCCATGCAGAGCTGCCAATCACCGCTCATTAAACATCAAGACACATCCTCCTCCCCAGCAAGCCCAGATTTAAAGAGCTCTTTATCTCTGTTTCTCATTCTTACTGTTTTTCAGGTGTAAAAACTCCTATTGTCTCATTTTAGTGGCCATTACAATGGAATATGTAGAAGTGTTTGAGCTATAAAAGGTATTTTCAGTCTGAAAAATGTATTGTTGTTGAAACGTATTTAGATTTTTAATGGCTCCATCTATTATCACCAGGTCACAACCTTTAGTGTTAACCAAAAAGACCATTTCTATTAACTTGAAACACTGGAAAAATTTGGAAATTATGCTTATATTATAATAAATAATAAATTATTAATTGATTATTATTATTAGTGACTCTACAAATTATTAGGATATTTTGAGTAAATACATCAAATTACTCATTGGAAAATCAACTATTTTATGATTTTTTTTTACATGGTTTAAGTAATAATTTGAATTTGCACCTGTCTGGCAACACAAAGTAGGCTAAACACAGCACATCATGTTCTGATGTAAAGAAACTCAAGTTTAGCTGTCAGTTTATAAAGTTTATAAATCAAAAAGCCTTTTGGAGAAACAAGAGACGTCCACCTTCCTTCTACTGATGCATTCAACACACCTGAGGTGAGGTCACAGGTCAAGTTTGAACAATCACAAAGAGGACCAAAGGTCAGAAACAACATAAAAATGCATAAGTGGAATATTTGTTTGGTATAAAATGTTTCTCAGCTCGATTTACAAAACAGGATTTATTTATTTCTTTCTCAGTTCAGATTCAGAGATCCAGAATATTTTCTCCAGCAAATCAAACAGAAGTGATATCGACTGCTGTCCGTTAAAACCCTGCCCCTCTTTTCTTCCAATCATAAACCATTGTCCCTGCAAACGGCGAGGCAGCGGGTCGGATCCAACGAGTCGCGCAAACATCTTGGAACAATAAGTCGGTCATTCTGACTGAAGGTGGTTAAGATTTAGTCAAAATCAAACAATGTGTGAAAACCTTCTGCATGAAAGACTTTCAGATATATGCAGACACACTTGTTGCAGAATTGAGCAGAAAATGCTGTCCAAATCATTTTTGTATTAATCTTTATTTATTCTCTGGTCTTTCCCAGCTTCACTGCAGGTTTCCATATCCTTGCACAAGGTGGAGTTAAGCGTCGGAGAATCCAAATTCTTCATCTGCACAGGTAATTTCAAACATTTTATCTGAAATTTAAATGCTATTGTAACTCATCTTAATGCAAAATTCTTCAAAGTTCTCCAGTAGCTGTCTGTAATACAACAAATTCAAAGTCACCTCTGACTAAAGACATTTTGTTTTTCTAAAAGACGATATTTTAAATGTTAATATTGTAGACAGGAAATATCTCAGGTAGCAGTCAGTGCTGCCACAAATCTGAAGAGGCTTCTGACTGAAGAAGGTTGCTGTGACATGCTAACAGCGCAGTAGCTTAGCAGAGATGATATTCCACAGCAGCATCAGTTGCTAATCCTCCTCGTTTGCTTTAGCAGCTCCTCTTTAACTCTGTCTGGGCGGATTTCAGGTTTCTGTTTGTACAAAATGTTTCTTCTCCATAAAATCCCCATAAATCACGTAGCGGTGAGGCGCTGTGAGGATTGTGGGTGTGTTTGCTGGATGGCCTGTCACTGCGTTTGTCCCTTTGTGAACGCCACATGTGCGCAGCAGCAAATAAGCCGTTGTCGGGGCCAACGGCGGCTCGGCGGGGCGGCCGTGCTTTCTGGCAGGAGCGGCCCGCCTCCTACCGGCTGCCGTCTCTCCTGCCAACCCGCTCGACAGGGGGCTAACAATCAAGAGGGTAGAAACGCGCTTGGAGGGTTGAGAGGGAGAGTTAAAGCACACTGAGCAGTGAAGAAATGGGGTAGAAACACAGGAAATGAATAAAATCAGGAGGAAAAAAAAAGCTTTTAATGTGAAAGGCTTACAGAAAAAGGGAAAAGCTTTTGAAGTGGCGTGAAAATGTGGAAGTGTTTGTGTCACCTTTTTCTCCCTGGACTGTTACCATGCTGGCAGGAAGTTCTGCCAAACGCAGGAAGCTGAAATGAACCTGCAAACAAAAAGTCTGAGCTGTTAAAGGGGCTTTTCTGGCTTTCAGTTAAGATAGAGCACCAAGCTAGCATTTATAAATATATATTTATATTTAAAATAGCATTCATCAATACAATTACACAAATAATAGGTCAAGTTCTGACATCAACTGATATTAGGATATCAAACTTGTTAACCTGTTTACAATAATTTGGAACTTAATGGGTGTTTTTTTACATTTGTTACATTTTCAGCTGCTGTGGTTCATTTTCACACTGCGTCAAGTAAACGATGCTAATTATAATAGCGGGCGTGTTACACACACAGAGCAGTTTAGAAACAATAAATATGATATGATGAATTGATATGTTGGTATGGGGGGGGGGTCTCTGGTGAAAATCTGCTTCGGGCCCCAAAAAGGCTTTGGCCGGCCCTGTGAGTCCAGATGGAGCCTTGAGGACAGAATAAAATATTCTTTCTGTTATTAATCATCCTAGAAGAAAAGCAGAGATATTTTTATCTGTATGTAGCTGAACTTTTTACCCAATCTAATTGGGTTCTCCTGACCTTTGACCTCAGATTAGAATCTCATTAAAATAAAGAGGAAAAATTGGTCATTAGTTTTTAGTTTGTGAGTAAAAATCATGATTTAACTAACTGCATATTTAAATCATACAGTCTGATTTTCACAATCTGGATCATAATATATCAGCAATTAACCATTAATTTCTCCAGGTTGAGTAATTTATATTATAAATTTAACGGAAGCAAAAACCATCAATCAAGCACATTTCAGTAAGAAGTGGTTACTCAATAAAAACAAAGTTTAACAATTGAAACATTACATTTTGCCGTTTTTAACTCATTATAGATCAAAAGTAACTTTAAACAGGTGGATTATTTGTCTGGATTTAAGGAAACTCAGTATCTTGTTAGAATAATTGAAAATAAATTTGTTTATTTGGCTTTTTATGTGACTAAAAACCTTGTTTACAAGAATGTAAACTAGTAAATATTATGAATATGATGTCACCACAGCAGGAGTATTTTAATCACTTTAACTTAATATTTTTGTAGCTGCGTTGCTATCAGATGCTTTTAAAGCCATAGAAGAAGTGATCTTTTTATGATAACAAGCAGTTTGATCGTTTATAGCGTTGAGCTGCTGCATTTTCACCTGCTAACAAATACCTGAAAGCTTGAACCACTGGGTCCAACAGTGGAACCACTTTCAGCTTTTGTCCCAGAACAGAAGATTTGACACTTGGTGACTTATTTTTGCTTTTAAGGAGAAAGTCTGAGAGGCTTCCCATCAGCAGGATCGGCTTTTGTTCTTCCCCTCTCAGCACAAAAAGCTTTATTTTCTGTCACATGGCCTTTGAAAAAGAAACTGTGGGAGGCTAAGAGGGGAAGGAGAAGCTGAAAGAGAAAAAGTTGGGAGTTTTAGATTGACCTTAGGAAGAAGTTGGAGCTAAGTAGTTGAAAGAAAGTCAATTTGTTCCTGTGTCTTCTTGTTCTTTCAGGTATTTTGTTGTTTGGATGTTTTTATGATCGTCAGAAACCTGACAGGGGTGTCCAAACTTTTTGTCAAAAGGAAGCAAATAAAGTACCTTGATATTTATTAGCTTTAGAGAGATTTTTACGACAGTAAGAAAAGGAGGAAATTTTCACCAAAATATTAGAAATTTAGTGATTTGTCTGTTTTTTGTAAAAAATGTATCTAAAAACTTGACTTTTTTCAAGTAAATGTCTGAAGTTTTTACTGCAGGGGCCCTAATACTAATTTACTCTATTTGAAAATAAATGAATTTCTTTTTAGTTTGATGGAATAAGTTTATTTTCAGTATTAAGAGCAGGATTTGGGTCACTTTGTTTCAAAATTTACATTGGAACTAACTTTCAGCCTGATTATCTGCATCTTTGTTTTGGGCCGAACAAAATCAATCCACGAACCACAAATGGCCCTCCAGCCTCACTTTAGACACACTGCTATAAAGCAGTGGTGATCAAAATGTGGGTCAGGGGCCAATTGTGGTACTCAAAGTGACTTTGTCCGGCCCCCAACAATATGAAAACGGCACAAACTTAAGAAGAAACGTTCACAAAAAAAATACAAATGACAAATATAAACATTTTAGAAAAATGAGCAACTCATATAGCTGCTGAGAATAAACTCAAAAAATCCAAAGATAATAGAGAAACATCAACATTTATGATTTATTTACAATGAGACAAACCTGCTAGATTTCATGCTTCAGACCCATTATAATTTATTACTCCCTTTTATTTTATTGAAACATTGTGTTGTGTTAGTTGTGCGGGTAAAAACATTATATTTTGGGGTGGTTTGGTTTTTCTCCAAACATTTTGTGTTTGTTAACTCAACCCAACCTGCAGTTTTTCCCCAGTTCTGCTGTAAAGGAACATTACAACCTTCATGGTCGTTGTGGTAATTGCTACCTGCTAACACTTAACCACCCTGTTAGCAGCTGTTCTGCTTTGTAGGTATTAATCATTTTAACCTTGCTACTCTGCTGAAGCAATTACTAAAGATTATGGGAACAGGCCTGTCTAAATGTGCTAGGTTGGTTTAATTGTGTGTTTTTTCTGAGTGTTTTATCCCAGTGGCCTTCACAGTTGTTAGCGCTCCTGGTAGAGAAGTGTGGAAAAAATAAAGAAATAAAATTGATCCATCTCTTTTATGCACTGAGTTATTCGATGAGGAAAGAAAAATCTCTGAAAAACTGTTGATTTTGTGTCATTTTTATCAGGCTCATGTGATCAGAAGTGTGTGTCCAGATATTTACATTTGTGACAGTAGGTTTAAAATTTTAAAAAGCCATAAATACTGATTTAATACTCCAGTTTTTGTTTCTCTCCAATATTTCACAACTCAATTAATCATTTATTGAATAAAAACAGGTGGAAAGAATCTAAATATGTCAGAACGAAGTGTTGCCTCACCTTAAAGTTGCAGTGACATCACAGCAACGACAACTTACAGGGTTTGTCTGGTTTTACCCAATAACAGAGCGGCTCATAATCTCCCCCTGGTTTCAGATGAAAGCAGTAAAATAAATAAAAACATAAATAACTTAGAAAAAGAGTAAGATGGCACAAAATGTCTGCAAGTATTTTTTGTGAAAAGGTAATAAACTCCAGTTCTTTGGTTTTGTGTTCTGTCCTCCATAAGAGTAGCATCTGATCAACATTATTAAAAATATCTAAATATAGGTCAACTGTCAATTATTAGGTTTTATGTTTTACTTTCTGAAATTGATGGAGAAACTGTGGAAAGAAATAAAAATTAGGGTGACGGTACGCAGGCTTTCCAACCTGGGGGATAAATCATTGTAAATATGATATTTTTTAAAATAAAATTTCAATTAAAATAAACTATTTTCTAGCAGAAAGTCTAAATCTTGTAGATTTTAAACTTAAATGTGGTGAAAAAATAAACCAAATTGATGTGCAGCTAAATCAGCCTCAGAAAAGTTTATTGCTTTATTTCTATAAAATAGGCCAAATATTCTATTTTTCTGTTCATAAAAATATTACCTTGTATTTTAGAGCAAATAAAATCGTCACAATAAAATAATTTTTGCATTTCAGTTTGACAAATTTGAATTTAAGTGACTCAACTTCTGAGTTGACTTTAGTATTTAAAGTGAGGAACAGCTTGAATCCTGTTTTCGTTGGATTCCAGTGCGTTTCCTGTAAAGACATAAATGACTGAGAACGTTCCCTCCCTGCTTTAAACTGGTTCTTCCTTGAGTTTTACAGGGATGTTCCTGGTAAATATTGGCTCCAGTAGACACTTATAGACTGTAATCTTGCTCTTGCAGCATGCCAGGCGATCCGCTCCATGCTTCAGTTCTAGAAACCTTTACATATTTGTTGTTTTTTTTTACATTTCCAAGCCTCTTCTAATCTCCAAACGAGGGTTTCGCTGCTGCCAGCGTTGATAAATCAGAATGCCTCCGTGTCTGCATTTTGCTAGCCTCTGGAGAAGTGGTCATCATTGTCCTGCCATCGCACCTCTCAGTCAGCGCTTACTTTTCCTGCCAAGATGTCGCCGTGGCGCCGGAGCTTATGCAGATTTTAAGATGTGCTATTCACGCAGATGTTAAGACACACAGAGGGATGCCAGGCTGAGTGTGCAGAACGGGCCGGCACGCTGCACACTCCTGTCTTCTCCCATCATCTTTGATTCAAATGGGGCTGTCACCATGCCGGTTGCATCAGCTCAAACTCATAACTGTATGTGCTTTCAGAAGGCTGTATAATGCGGAGAGGCGATAACATTGTGGTGCTAGCAGGTGGAAAAAGGCAGCTGCAGTGATACTGAGCACTTATCTGTTCCTTTCAAGTGCCCACATGAGGCAAAGGAATCTGCTGGGTGCAGGGATGGTGTACGATCAGTGTGCTTTGAAGCTAAAAAGTGGCAGAGGAGGAGAGTTAGCGTATTTGTTTGCTCCACATCCAGGCTACAGTCACCACTATAGACCATATAGGTCACACCTCGGTTTTGCTCAAGGGCGTCTTGTATTTAATTTGTCAGCTTCTTTTACCTCTGGGTTTTGCAGAAATCCGCCGTCTTCTCCTATTTAGGAATTTGTAAAAATGAGGATCTGTCTCTGGTCTTGTTCTGGGCTGATGGATAAGCCAGATAATGGGCTGACACAGTCGCTGTTTTATTAACACGCCTTCCAGACGAGGGGCACCTGCTGCTTGCAGATGGCTCTGTCATCTCCTTAAGTAGCTGTACCAGGTCTTGCTTCATGGGGCGCGTGAGGACATCCCGGTTCAGGTTCGGTTCTGATCGGAGCGTTTTTATGTCTGTAGGGTTTTCTGCATTTAAAAGGGGAAGCAGCAGCTAAATCATATCCAATCAAATGTCAAGAAGCGTGCAGTCAGCGTACCTTTGGAAAGCAATCGTTGATTCCCATCATATGACTTTCCAATCATGCAGTCTGCAAACCTTAGTTAACATGTTAAACACAAAGAAAACGAACATATATGGTGGTTTGAAAGAGCTGACAATGAAAAGCATTCACAATTTCGATGATACCAAAGTGCTTGACTATAACACATGATAAACCATCTGTTTGCCATGGTAGTGAAGGAGTGATGATCTGGGCTTTGTGGTAGCCATCTTGGCACATGTCTCCCCATTTCTAGCATCCATCACCCCAAAGTGATTTCTCTTTCTGAGTCTTGGCTCACAGCCTCCGTCTGAAGTAGGTTTCATTTGCGTTTTCCTGTTTCTCTGTCTGCGTCCAGCGATCGGTGACCCCACAAGGCTGGAATGGTTCAACCCTCAGGGTGAGCGCATCGTAAGCAGCAAACGAATGAATCTGCAGACGGAGGCGTCCCGATCCCGACTCATCATCTACAACGCCATCATCGAGGACGCGGGGATCTACCGCTGCCAGGCCACCGACGACAGCGGCCACGTGGAGGAGGCGTCGGTGGTGCTCGAAATCTACCGTAAGTTTCGCCTGTTACCATGCAACCGCACTTCACAGCAACCTGCAGATGCTCCACGCTGGCCTCCTGGGGAGAGTCAGACACGAATAGAATAAAGCTTTGAAATTAGGTTTTGATCACAGCTGATTCATATTCTCATCTGCGGCACAAGCTGTTAAGGATGCCCCTGAACCTGAGGTCCATGTGTGCCTGTGGCTCCTGTGAATCTGTGTTCATGATTAAAGGATAATAACGGCGAGCGATGCCTACGGGACTCGGATCCTGCCAGGCTTAATGAGAGACCTGGCACTTTGTCTAACTGGCCTTTGTGGCCCATTGATGTTATGAGGCAGGGGGTCACCCCATCGCTACGGAGACTCTCCTTCATGCAAGCAGTCAGTTTTCTGCCCTTTGCTCATTGAGCACATAATGAAGCCGAACGCTTAAAGGGAGCCTAACTTTTCTTATTTCCACTTCTAAAAACAACTGCATGCGCTGTACAATGGCTGCTGGAAAAGTGTTTTGATTTCCATAAATCACTTGGTGGATACTTTTGGGTTGTGCAGGAGGCTCTACTAATGCTTTTCTAAGATGTACAGTTGTGTAATTGAGTCTGTTTTTCAGCCATTTTCATGTGCAAGTGTAAATGTTGAGTTGGGGGGGCGTGGCCAGCTGCAGCCTGAGACAGACGCCCTAAAACATCTCATTCTGAATTAAACTAACTCATCATCTAAGAACAAATTTGTGCCAAAAAATGTTTTGCATCACCCATAAATCTATCCTAACCTATTCAAGGAAGCATAGTAGATGACTTTTAATTAGTTTGTGTCATCAAAGTCAGTGGGCGGGGCTATTGATGCCCCAGTCAACCAATCAGGTATGAATCTATATCCCTATAATTCAAATCAATTTTGTTTATAAAGCTCCAACTCACAGGTACCTGAAAAAGTACCTGGAAATGACATTTTGTCACCTCTGGGCTTCCATAGAGTCCATTTCTGGAGCCACTGGAAGGCATAAATAATGACAGGATATAAGATTATTTAACATAAGCCCATAATTTGCTACATTTCACACTGTGCACACACTCTGAATGTATAACATTTGAAAGCTTCCATCCTTGAAATGACCCGACCTTAACTGGAAAAAGGAGCAAAAAAAAGAACACTCCTTCCTGTTCAAAGCCAGAAACGCTACATGTGATGAATTAACAATAAAGCACAAGATTTCCTCACTTAGAAATTACCCAGTGAGCCCCGTGAAGGGACTGACTAAATACCCTTGTGCATGATCAGAAGACAACACCAAGTTTAATTAGAAGAAACGTCAAAAGTACGAGGATTAACTCCAGGGAAACCGACGCGTTCACACGCGCTCTGGAACTCATCACCTGCTGCGCTGCTGTCTTCCCTTCCTCTCCCAGAGAAGCATTAGCTGAGACGTCTCAGCCTCAATCCCACCTGCCGCCATTCAGTCATAGCCTCATTCACCGCGTAACCAGCACCGCTGTTTCCTTGGCAACCGAGCGCCGCTCGCGCGCGGCGGCGCGGCGGCGTGAGCTTCATGAGCAGAATGCCAACGAAGAGCCGGAGCCCGGCGTCCCGCCGGTGGACCTGCTGGTCTGCAGCATGTTGGACAGAACAGTCTGACCTCCGGGTTAAAGAACACACACACCTTTCCACACACACTCTGGGTCACCCCTCCGAATTATTGATCTCATCCACTTCCACATGTTTGTGAAAGGCAGCAAATTCCAGCTTGGAAAAGTCCTGGGAAATGTTCCTGCTACATATAAGGTCCATTCAGGTGCTTGAAATCCTGGAAAACGCTCAAGTCATAAGGTCAGGGGTGTCCAAAGTCCTTTATAATGAAATCATTTATAAATTAGACCTCAGTTTTCTTCGTTTATTCTTTCGTATTTGACTAAAGTGCCTGATAGGCTGATATCATCTGTCCAGATGTGGACGGAGGGAAATTGGCTGATTTAACTCCAGCGTTTCTGCAAACAGGAGAGCAGAAACTCTGCTGAGTGTTTCCTCAATTTGCTGATGTCAAGTTTGCAGCAGCGTTTCTCCAGAGACGATGTTCCCCTTCCTCCTTCTCTTGTCGAGCATCGTGGCTATAAAAGGAAGCAGGAAATGGATACAAACAGAGTAAATAACTGACAGCAGGAGTATTCAAACTTTACAGAAGAAGGAATGAGGAGCGTCTTTTTTTGGAAATGAGCAAAGAGCAGCAGAGGGAGCGACGAGCGGAGTGAGTGACAGAAACATGCACAGGCATCCTGGGAGTTAATGAAGACGGCGAGATTCCAGACACGTTGATGGGCGGCGGCTGCAGTCGGGGAGCCAAAGCTCATTTTAGGGAGCCGCCTGGTATAAATCACCCAGCTGAAATGCTAATGCCGGAGCCTCGCTAACGGAGAAGACTGATCGGAGAGCCGGCGCTGATTTATTCACGCCTTCATGATGCGCCACGCAGGTGATGGCGTGTGGCTGCGGCTCTGCCGGCAGAGCCGTCTTTGGGCCGCATCAGAGGCGCTGATGAGGCCCAAAGACGGATCTGCTGCGGCTCTTCAGTCGCTGAAGAGGCTCTTCAGACCAAAGTGTCTGGGTTTCCATTTTATCAGGGCTTTTCTTTCAGTCCTGGTATATTTGTTCAGCTCTGTGAAAAAAAATTAGGACACCCTAATACACACTGACAAAAAGAAAGAGATTTCACTTCAAAAAATTAAACTAAATACTTAAATCCATCTTCTGGCTCCTTCCTCTTTGACTTCATTAAGATTTATCCTGCAGTTTTCTCTCTGACATCAGTTTGATCTCAAGATAATTAAAGGTTGGAAGGATAAAAACAAGATTCCATTAAATATTCAGAAATGCTCATCCTTATTTTTTATCTGTTAAAGAAAATGATTTTTATAGATAAACACCAAAAATAATCTTGTTTCATACAAGACATCTATATAAATATTATTGATGGCATTTTCAGAATGTTTTATGTTGGTTCAAAGAGTCTTACGAGACCTGGGCTTTGACTAGGCCCAGGACTTAGGATTTTTTAGTCCTCTGCTCGTCTTTGGTGAATTTAATGGTTTGTTTTGGACCTTGAAATGTTGCAGATTGATTTGATGTCATATGTATTAAATCCTTCTAGCATCTTGCTGTCTGATTTTAGATGTTGCCAGTTTTGTTGAATGTTCTTATAAACTACAGAATTCATTGGTAAAATGGGCCAATTTGTATTTTTCAACATTTTGAAGACTTTCTAAAAAGCCAATTTATCCAAACATGTTGTAACATTTGTTGAATGTGTGTTTTTGTTTGGCTCCACAGAGAGACTGACGTTCCGGGACGTAAAGTCGCCTCAGGAGTTCAGGCACGGCGAGACGGCGGAGGTGGTGTGTGATGTCATCAGTTCGCCGGTGCCGGTGGTGGTTTGGTACTACCAGGACAGAGAAATCACAGAGGAGCATCACAGTGAGTCATCACCACTTCCTGACTCACTCTGATTGGCCCTTTTGTCCATAGAAACATAACTTCACCTTTATATTGAGGTTTTTCCTGTAACTTGTGAGTTAGCATAATTTAAAACATCAACTGTTTTGTTTTCTGATCCATTCATTTCTGGTTTTTGTCTCCTGATTTTGCAGGGAATCATCCTCTCTATTCTGCATTTTGTGTATTTATTTAACTCCCTCATCCTGTTTTATTGATCATTTTATAGCAAAAGTGCTTGCCGTATCATTTTCTGTAATATTAGTTCAACAGTCCCTGCAGCATATTTCCAATTAAAAACATATTTTCATCCCTCAAGTAAACAAAATGTTCTGATATTTTCAGACATTGAAATTAATAATGAGAAACTGTGTTTTATTTATGTTCAATTTTTAAAAGATTTTATGTTTTCTGGCTCTGAAATGTAATAATTAACGTTATTTGCACTTCACAGCAATTTTGCCGCCTTGCAGAAATGCAGAATGCGACAAAAGTTGAATCAGAGTGCATTAAAAACTGGAACAAAACGTACCAATTAAAGCCGCAACAGTTGTATCTAATGCTGCGGTTGGATTATTTTCATTTGGAAAACATTTTTCTTCTGGGTTTGTGTTCACCCAGTGGATCAGCTGAAACTTGCCAAGAAATTTTCAGGCCTGCAGAGAAATAGCTGTCATTTTCAGCACCTCACAATTTAGATTTGGAGCTGTGATAACCCTGCAAATAACTTTACAGTGTGGGTTACCAGTCGGCGCTGGTTATTCTAATAATTTGGACCATAAAAGCTGTAAAAAAAGCCATTCTCAGAGGAACTGAACCTGAATGTTGGAATATTGAGCTCAGGATGTTTTTTCCTCTTATTGAAAACGTGCCAAAAACTCAGTTCTCTAGGAAATGCTTTTCCCTTCCTTTGTGTTGGATTCACAATGAGACAAGGGTATAAAAATCTATGAATAGAAACCCAATGGAGGAGGCACCTAATTTGGACAGAGACCATGTTAACAAGCCTCTGTGAGAGGATGGATTATGGCGCTGCTGGATGGGTGACATTCAAATGCGCCGCTTCCCCGTGAGATTAAAAACACACCAGAAAAACGAGAAAAAAAAACATGAAAACAGCAGAAAAATTGGTGTTTTTATCCTGTGCTGCCAATTCTCCATGGGAGATTTCACAGTCTCATTGTCAGCCCTCCTCTGTTCCCTTTAAGCAAAAGATGATTTATACCATTTATAGAGCTCTCCCTGGTAATCCCACCCTTTTTCGTTTTAACAGTGTTAAATATCAGGAGAATGGTCTACTTAATTTGCAAAGAGAAAAAGGAAGATGGAGGGAGAGAAGCACTCAAAGGAGGAATTCATTTTTAGTCATTTCCTTTCCTGTAGAATCAGTAATGCAGTGCGAACGGCGCTTACCGCTCATTATTTCTTCTCCCCTCCTCCTTGATTTACAACTCTCTCTTAAAGAAAAAAAAGCTCTGATTGGAAAGAGTGACCCTTTGAATCCTTGAATCTGTCACATTTTAATTGAAATTCAAATCTTCAGTGACACTACAGTGATGAAAGTGTGTTTTTTTTCCTCCTTCTTTAATCATTTCTCTCTTAATTGTGATGCGGGGACACAAATATCTTAGCTGGGCCGGGCAGATAGAGGCCCAACAGAGCTGAGCTGTAATTGCTCGTGTTTATCTGTGTGGACATTATCAGGTAAATGAGCTGCGGCTCAGACTGACAGACTAACCGCGCTGGACTGCAGATGGCATTTATCTCCTGCTCCTCTTACGCCGCTGTTGTTTTGCTTCCTCCTCTCCTCCCGACCCGTGAAGGCAGGTTCCAGGTGCTGCCCAACAACAACCTGCAGATCCGCCAGGTGACCAAGTTGGACGAGGGCGTTTACCGCTGCGAGGCCAGCGTGGAGGCCAGAGGGGAGATCGACTTCGTGGACATAGCTGTGGTCGTCAACGGTGAGTCTGATCATTTAAACTGCTGCTTTTACGCCAGGTAGTTCTTAAATTGTTAGCTTCTTACAACCGTTTGCTCCATTGCTAGAGGGTTCTGTCAACAGTTTGAGTTACTGATGGTTCTTTAGCTCCACTTTGAGCTTCATAAACTGGTTTCTTGGACATGACAGCATCTTAACATTCAGGAGGGCTGACCAGCCAATCAGAAGCACAGCTGACATAATGGCTAATCCTCGTTCTCCATCAAATTTGGCTGTTAAGTTTAATATCTGCGACTAAATTTAGACGCCAGATTCACTTTGCACCAGTTGGTTAAAGGACGAATCAACTGAATAGAGCCAATAAGTGAAAACCAGAGTAAGTGTTCAATTTTTAAAGTGTTGAATAAATGTTTTCCGTGTTAACTAAAATGATTCCAGCGTTAGAGAACAACCAGGTGTTTGTGTTTGACACAAATCTTGACACAATCATAAAAAATTGGGATGAAGAATCAACAAAATAAATCTCTCACAGCAGTTGGAAAATGTAGTTAAACTAAAAAAGCTGCACAGCTGGTCTTTGTCTCCTCGATTCGGATAAAGCAACAAAAACATCCATCTGGATTCCAGGCACACATGTGCTCCTCTTCGCACGGTGCCAGCAGATTGACGCGCATTAGGGACCGGCTCCCTCTGCATACACAAGTTGTTTTGGTGCTCCTGTTTTTTTAAACTCAACATGAATCGTTGCTTTTGTTCAGGTGGCAAAGGTCAAAGGTGCAATAATGGAACAAGTCTTCTCACTGTGTGATGAAACTATCGCCTCGTTTGGAGGCTTCAGATCCTGGAAAGGGCTTGAGTTGGAAAAAAACATTCAAAAACATTTTTGAAGTGTTTTTGAATATATTTTGAATTGTTACAAAATACTTTTTAAATATTTGCTAAAATGTAAATTTTTTTTTATAAAAAAATTTATTTTAAAAGTATTTTTAAAATATATTTTAAAACATGTAAATATTTTTTAAAATATAAAAATGGTTGAAAATATTTTTAAAACATTTTTAAAGATGTTTAATATTTTTGTAAATGTATTTTTAAACATTTCAATATAAAATATTAATAAATATCTCTTTCATCTGTGTAATTTAAAAGGTTGGCTTATATTTTAGATGTTAGAAGTTATTAAAATTTGGATATATTTTGTTAAATTGATGTTTTTTTCTCAGGGACCTGATCTCAAAACATAACATTTAGTTACTTTGATCCTGCCTAAAATATACAATTTTCATCACAATATATTATAAATAAAGATAATAATTTATGTCATTAAATGGTAAATTGAAACTAAAAGTTGGAAAACGTACCAAGAAAAAACAATATTTGAACATTATTTGAACACTGCAAGACAAAATCAAACTGTGAACCTTTGACCTGGAAGTGGATTTAAGCAGGCCTGGATGATCTGGACTTGGATCAGTGGCTGTGAAACTCCTCCAGATTTCTCCATTAGTTCACAATAGAGCCGTCATCTTCTGCAAATTCAGCCGGGTTAACTCACTTTCTGGCTCGCTTGCCTCTTAAGCTTCTATTAGTGCGACTTTTCTCTTCCCTTTCTTCTCCAACGCAACTGAAAAATAAAATTAGTAATGGCGCCGGGTGCTGCGGTCCAGAAATCAATGGATGTCATTTTAATTTCCTCATTTGTTCTCATTTACGGTGAGTCACCTGAGACTGCCGGCTTGATTGAAATGTGATCTCACTAAAGCCACCAACGTCTTTAATGCTCCAACAGCTGCAATATTGTCTCTGCCTATGTAATTCTCTCACACTTAATGTAATAGCAGCGCGGGCCCCAGCCCAAAAAAGTATGAATTGCATTTAATTTAGCACACCACTTACCTCACTTCTGTGGAAGATCCAATAAGCCTGCTCAATGAGGCGCGGCCCATTATTGCAGTGATGCAACACTTGCCATGTGGCGCTGCGATGGGACAGGCTGCGCGCGGCGGCTCTGCTGAGCTCACAGCCACACTTGATAAACTCTCTGCCTCAGGAAGAAAGCCTCTGCTCGCCCCGTCTTACAGGATGTTCGCCCTGCAGCAGATACCATCTGATTTGTTTAAGCACCTGACGGGGCGCTAACTGTTAGCTTTGAAACCACACGGCTCAGAGGGATCCTCCGCCGGCTTTCCAGGTTGCCGTTTATGAAGTTTTTGGAGAAAATCCCCTTGGTGAATTTTGGAACGTTATCAGGTTTGCAGCACAACAGCAAAGAGGGGAAAAGCCGAGCTGCTGAAGGATAACAACAAAACAAAAACAAAGTGTATTTGGCTCCTGCCTTTCATGATCTCATCATTTCTCCTGGCAAGACTTTTGTTTGTTGTGAAGTAGATTTCAACCCATTACTGTTACCAAAAACCACAAATTTGCCCTTTGTTTCTTAAATATTTAAATTTAATGCATTGAAGGCGTCTGACTCTTAAATTCTATCTTTTTAAATTACAAATAAGAACTTATCCAATAAAAATGTCCACGCATGACGACATGTGGTTTGTTTATGAATAATTCTTTGAAAAAAATATTTATTTATTGCAAAAATAGACCAAATAGTAACTGATAAGTTACAACAACTTAAACGTAAAAGAGAGTTAACATAATCAAAAAGTCTCAATCTGTATCTACAGGAAACATTTACATCAACTTTGAACTGCAGAAATCAGTCCAGGGGCCACAAATGGCCCTGGGGCCCCATATTGGACCCCACTGGTCTAAAGGTTACTAAAGTAATCACATTTGAAAATGTAATAATGAAAGATTTAGCTTCCAGACTAGCTAACATGCTAACTGCTTAAAAAACCTAAACTGATCGAATTTATTCAGTTTTCTGAGTCATGCAGAACTAAAGTCGACAAAAAGTTTAAAATTTGAAGAAAACAAATAAAATATGCATCATTTTGCAACATATCTGTGAATCATGGGGTATTAAACTAGTTTCCAAAACTAATTTTATGTATTTTCTAAGCTTTTTTCTTATTTTGTAGTAATTTTTAAATAGATTTTGGTGCTACAGCATTTTAATGAACGGATAATTGATTTCTCTTTCCAAAGATGTCTGCACAACGCTGCAGCCTCTGCTTTAGCCGCTATTGCTAACAGGCTGTATCCGCTATCGCTAACAGGCTTTAGCCGCTAACGCTAACAGGCTTTAGCCAAGCGTCCAGTCTGATCTGACAAAGTGAGCAATTATTGCAGAAATGTTTCCAGTCTTTGGTCTAATCGGCTCTGCCTCCAAACAGAAAAGGTCTGAGTGAGTGAGGTAGTGAGCAAAGTGAAGTCCAAGCTGCTTTTTTTGGTGTTTTTCCTCCTGCATGCCCATTTGTTTCAGGGGCAGCAGCTGTCCCCGGCCCAGAGGGGCTTTTAATTTAGCCTCTGGCATAAAGGTGTGCAGAGAGGGGTAATAAAGGTGACATACATAGAAGAGACATTTACTTAAATGCCACAGACTGTCATGGGGCACACAAATACGAGCCTCCTGCCTCAGCCTTGGAGGAAGTGGAAATATATTTTGTCATGAGGTCGGCTTCTCATTCACGCCTCACTTTACCTCCAGCGCCGCATTTTTATTTTCAGCCCAAAAGCCATTGACTCTCAGTGATTATTGTAATATAACTTGTCATTAAAAAGGACGGTTTCCACCCACAGATAAACACTTCTGGTTTTAAATCACAAGTTATAGTCTGTAGTTGATACGGCGTCACATTTAACGTCATGTATGAGCAAAACATTGTAAAAATGTCTTACAAACATTTCTAAATCTGCAATTTAATCGAATTAATTTAAAGTCCATAGTTTTGCAATCTGATGACTCACAGGTTGATGAAAAACAGCGAATCTCACAAAGTATTTTTGATCTACTTTGTAGCGAAAATAACTTATTGCACTTTAATAAGACAAAACTAACTTACAAGTAACTTTTTAGAAAAATATAAAGGCTTGTTTTAGTCCGAACATGTCCGCGATGATCCAGTTAAATTTGCAGCACCGTAATTCTGCTACACGTTCCAGCCAACATTGGGTTATTACGGTAATTTCAATCCCGCCATAGAAGGCAGTGAAATTCATCTTCTTTTAATAAATTACAAAAATTACTGCTAGATATTAAAAGTTCCAGTTGTTGTGGATAAATGGACAAATATATTTACTCAACGGACATGTTAAGAACTTTGTACCGTTAAAATAAGCAAAAATTTGAAAGGGTTCAGCAAATAACTCCTTATTAATAAGTGAAATAATCTGCCAGATTAGCTTGTGCTTTTTCCATCAATATTAAGACATTTTTGTCTTAAAATACAGGAACTGACCAAAACTACTTGGTAACATTTTGCATTATTGCAGTGTTTTGTAAAAAGTCTGTTCACCAAAAAGTTCAGATTAAAACTATAAATTTCTGCTGGTAACTTTCCAGATTTGGCTCTGCAGCCGCGGCTGTGCTGACAGGAATCAGTGTCCAGCCAAGACGCCTTTAAAGTGGCGGTCACACCTCAGCAGAGGTGAAGCCCAAAGAAACTCTGCTGCAACATCAGTTACCTTCTCCACCTTTCTTCCTCCTCCGTCCTCCGGCCAAAAAAGAAAAGAGAAACAGCATTCATGTCCCGTTTTTTCTCCATCGGTTTGTGCCTGCCTGGCCTGGGCTGCATCCCCCGGCGCTGCAGCAGAGAACAATAAACAGTTTGCAGCTGATTGATAAAACATCAAGTCTGCTGCGCTCATTGACAAACTTGGGCCTCCCAGCGATCTCTTCTGTCTCTTTCTACTTGTGCTGTTTGACCGTTTCTCGCCTTTAAAGTTGATGAAGTTCCCAGGTGCAGAGATTTAAGGATAATTTAGCAACAGAAAAAACTTATTTTTTACCTTTTTCTCTGAATACTCTATTTTTTTATGTCTTTCAGCAATGAGGAAGTTCAGAATACATCATAAAAACGTGTAGAAAAACCATCAATATCATTTTAAATCGAAGACGTGTGT